GTTTTTTCTTAAAGAGCACCCTCTCCATTGTATAACTAAAGGACCCATGAGCCTCCTGCAGCTGTTCTGTCTGCAGGCCCACAACTAGATGTGAGGTCCAAGTCCTTCACTGTTCCAGCGAAGAGAGACTTCTCTCTGCTTAGAAAGAGAAGATAAGTGAAGGATGCCATGAATGTTTGGGATAAAAAATGAAATGCCTTTGTATCAATCAAGGGTGAGCATAAGGTTCAGCAGTTTAGGCTACATTGTTGCCTGCTGCTTGCCCTAAGGAGATAGGGGACAGGCAGAAGTGACGTGGTGAGTATGTTTAAAACACACTTCCAGCCAACTTGACCACATTTTTGCATCATCATGACCAGCTCATGGTGTGTTCATCACTAGGATAAACTCAATGGTCTCATCTCTCCAGTGTCTCCTTGTCACTTAGAGATACATGGGAAATTGAGAAGTGAGAGGTGGAGGCACCCCTAGAAGATTTTCTTTCTGGCCGGGAGAGGTAACCAAGCCTGGTTTTCCCATGTCCAGATCAGTTCACTGTAGCTGCCTTCTAGACAATTCATAGGTAGAAACAGCGTCATGGGAGTGATCCCCTTTCCTCTGGTTTTCTTTACTGTCTGAAGTGTTTTGAGCTACGAACCAGTATTACATTTTGTTAAAGTAATTGAACGAGGTCATTAGACTGAGGTGGCCCTAATGCCTTGGTAGCCCATGTAAACAAACCAGAATCCTGAACCAGAATCCATGCACTTGAATCTGAGGAAATAACACTTAAGAACAACCAATCACAAACAGCCGACTAGGCTCTCCCAAATAAGGCGACAGTAAGCTATCATTTCCTTGCTTTTCTTTCTGCATCTCCTCTATTAAAACTGCCCTGGCCTCTGTCGGTGGAGTGCTCCTAACCACTTTTAACTTCATGCTGCCTGATTTGAGTTGATGTTTGCTCAGATGAACTTGAAAGTTTTAATATGCCTCAGTTTATCCTTTAACAGGTTCTAAACCCACTCGCTCTAGATAAAAGATTAAAAGGTGGCAGCCTGCCTTGGTTCACAACCCTTATTCCTACAGTTCTTGCCAGTCTACCCCTATCCCCTGGTTCTGTACCCAGTGAGCAAACTCTAACTGCACAATGATGATGAAGATGATGGTGGTGATGACGGATGTTAGTTGAACACTTACTAGAACATGTTAGGCTCAGCACTTATTCATTTTATCACATTAATCATCACAACAATACTTTGAGACAGGTACTGATATTACGGGGGAAACTGAGACTTAAAGAGATTACTTAACCAAACAGACAGATTGCAAGTGACAGGACACAGTACATTTCTATAAACCATAAACCCTTATAACCACTGATACAACCATATTGGAATGTAACTCCAGGAGGTGGAAGTCTTGTTGGTCTTGTTCTTTGCTGCAGACATTATACTGTTTGTTGAATAAATAAATGGACATGCCTGGAGAGGTTCAATAGAATGGAAGGAGATGGGCAGATTGAGTAAAAATAATGAGGCCAGTTAATTGGGCCACAACTTGGAGAGCAAATCTATATAACTTGGACCCACAAGTGGGGGGGGAGGCAGGTGTATAGCAGGTAAATATAATTGTTATAATTTGTGCTTTGTGGCTATTTAAACATCCTTATTGGTTTTTCTAGTTATTAGCAGCAGGCTTTTTTCCCCATATAATTTTTTTCTGATATTTAACTTGAAAGTAGTAACGAGACAAGTAGCCATAAAGCTAGCTCATTAGATTCACTTCATCCCATCATCATGACTATGCTGACTGAAAAACACTTGAGGGTTATTATTTTAGGATTTATTTTTTAAAATAATCAAAATTGTGTGAAATTATCACTGCAGTGTAAGCAAACACCATGCTCGTCTTTGCCATATACATTTTATCACTTTTCTGACTTAACACTCTTTTTCTTTAAAAAAATCTAACTTTTTTTAAAGTCATTCCTCCTTTTGGTTGTCCTAGTCGTCATGAATAAATTGTGTATGTATGAAGATGTCAGTGTATGTAGATGAACGATGTGAATCAGAATACATTAAACTGACACTGTCAGTCTTCTGTCAACACCAACCTCATAAGCATAAATTTCCTTTTTTAAGGAAAAAAAATCTTCCTACGTAAAGGCATCCTTAACTATTTAGGACCAGTTTTCTGTGGTTATATTCCAAGTAAGTGTCAAAATTTGCAATTTAATAACTGAGAAAGTATTTTATACCTAGAAAAGTTTCAAGGGGAACGTGTTTACTTTAATACCTGAGTGGATGGGTTTCTTCCAGAGGTACCACGTAAGGACAGAAACAGGATATACATGGAGTTTTCTGCAAAGGATGGGTATTAAGTTAACCTTATTTCAGCATTGGCTTTCATTATATATTAAAGGGAGTTGTCCTGGATAAAATTACCTTTATATAATGAAATCATACTTAAGAATTCAGAGTTTTTTTGTATAAAAGATTTTTTCAAATAGCCTTCTGAGTAAATATAACAATATTTAAAATATGAACATAATTTAAATAATAATGCTTAAAACTTTTTCATTGGCTCATAGTTAACAATCATCAGTGGATTAATATTTTGTTTTTGTATATTTAACCAATGAGCAGTGTCTGTCAAGGACAGAGAGACAAGAATAAGGTACTTACTGAGCCTTGTGAACTACCAAATATTGTTGGACACTAGGTGTTTATGTTTATGTTTAGCAGTCATATACCTGGAGGGAAAGCAGGCCAATACCTGCCACAGCTAACAAGACAAGATGAAGGACAGTGAGGATATTTTCCTTGACATGGATTTATTATTTCATAGCTGAATTTCTCAAATTTGAAATTAAATGAATTGGTAAAAAAAAAAAAAAATTCTTATTAAAAAATGGCAGTATTCACAAATTTTTAATTATATAGAATTTTCACTGATACCTCAATTTGCCTTTACTTTGAATTCACAAAATTTTAATTATATAGAATTTTCACTGATACCCCAATTTGCCTTTACTTTGAATTCCAATATTTATAGGAGATGTTAAACGTGAAATTTTAATTGACAAAAGGGAAAAGGTAACAGGGTTCTTGCTTTGTCAGGTTTTTAGTGGCATGAGTAAAAGTTTTAAAAGTTAGAGTTTACTGGCACGGTTCTTTCCACAGTAATTACTATTTACAGATAGCTTCCTTTCCCACTTTCTGAAGTTCCCATCTCCCTCAGACAACCTGAGATCTGGAAGATAAATAAAACAAGAGGTACAGAGAAGTGGAAGGGTGAGGCTGAAAAGATTTGGGTTGAGACTTCAATAGCCTAGGAGTTGTCAATAACAAGTAAGCCATCTGACTTTGCCAAATTTTTTTTGTTAAATGTTAAAAAAAAAAACTTAACATGTAGCCATTTAGATTACACTCCCAAATCTTAGATGTGAGGGCATTAGTCTTAGAAATACACTTATTAGCATGACAGTTGTCTGAAACTTGGGGAGTCATATTCCTGTAGATTATATTTGGAGAAGAGATATTGAAATACATAAGGATGTAGGAGATAATGGATATTGCTATACATAATTCATTGGGGAAAGTTTGCCTATGTCTTAAACTTAAATCATAATTTCCAAAAATGCGTATGTTCTCCAAACCTATTAATTTGAATATATAATCCATATTTTCTTTTTTAAACTTGTAGTAACTGTTTAAAAAAAAACAGTTGCCAACCTAGCCAGTTTGGCTCAGTGGTTAGAGCATAGGCTTGTAGACTGAAGGGTCCTGGGTTTGATTCCAGCCAAGGGCAAGTACCTCAGTTGCAGGCTCCATCCCTGACCTTGGGCTGGGGCACGTGAGGGAGACAACCAATCAATGTGTCTCTCTCACATCAATGTTCCTCTCTCTCTCCTTCTCACACTCTGAAAAGCAATGGGAAAAATATCAGTAGGTGAGGATAAAAAAATAAAAACAATTGTCATAAAAGTTAATTTTCATCTCTTATCTTAAACTCTAGATTTTTGTGTATCTCCCAAAATCTCTCTTAAACATTGGTTTTTCATGATCTAAATAACAGAATAAAATTAATATAATCATCTTGGCCTTTTTAAAATACCCACATTTGTTGTTTTTTAAACAACATGTGGTGAGTGACTGTGAATGTTTCTCTGTATGAAATTCTTCCGTGAGTTTGGCCAGTCATATATATATATAAATATATAGCTGTTTTGCCTGAGGATGGCTCTTTGCTAAATTTTTGCATACATGTTGGCATCAAGTTGTAGCATAAGAGAAACACAACAAAAGTTAACATTTATATAAGCTGATTTTTAAAGTTTGAGATAACTGAATAGAAAAGTAAAAGTGAACAGAAGCATAGTAGAAATTTAAGAGTAAGATAACTATTAATAAAGAAGAAAAAACAAAGATTTAGATTTTTGCCTAGAAAAAACATATGGTCAGATGTTAGGCTGCTTTTTAAAAACTATTTTTACTGTTAAAATAAACTGCAGAGTCGTATATAAAACCATCATTTTAGAGGTGACCATCAATCCGACTTTTCCAGTTAGCACTCTATTATTCTTTATATATTAGCCATTATTACATGTATTTCTAATACTATAGTTTATTTTTGTCCATATTTTTAAATTCTATATAAATTGAATCATGCCTTATGAATCTTTGCTTTTTGCCCAACCTTAAGTTATTAGATTCATCCATGTTATTGTATGTAATTACAGTCTGTTTCTTTCTAGCGTTGCACAACATTTTATTGTGTGAATATATCACAATCTTTTTATCCATCTCATTGTTAATGAGCATTTTGACTATTTTCCATTTAAAACATTTAAAATAAATATTTCTGTGAACATTTCTGGAGGACTTCTCCTGGTACATATAAACGTGTATCTCTAAGTATATCCCACCTAGGGGGAAGCTTCTGGGTCATCAGATAATGTGTATTTATTCAACTTTAATAATGCCTCCCTGGTTTCCACAGTGGTGCATCAATTTATATTCTCACCAGTAGAAGTTCTGTGGTTCTGTATCTTCACCAACACTTGGAAATCTCAGACTTGAAACTTTTTACCAATGTGATAGGTATGTATGGATACCCCATTGTGGTTTTAATTCACCTTTTTTTTTTTTTTTTTTTTTTACCACTAGTGGTATTGAATGCCTTATAGAATGTTTCTTTACCATTGGATGCCTGTTTTGTAAATGCCTATTCAGGTCTCTTGACATTTTTCTGTTGAGTTGTCTATACTTTTCTTATTGGCTTATATACATATTTTATATATTCTGAACAACAGCCTTCAGTTAGTTATATGCCTTAGAAATACCCTGTGAGGCTTGCCTTTTCACTATCTTAATGATATCTTTTTCTTCTCTTTTTTTTTCAATTTTCATGTTACTTTTTATCTTTTGTGAACATATTTTACCAATAGACTACTTACTAGAATATTTAATACAAAACATGAAACATCTACTCTGCCCCATTTCTCAAACATCCATTTTGTCCTCTAACATACTTTTTAATTCTGGCTTTTAAAAAAAAGCTTATCACATGAGATCAATCCTTTTATGAAATGCTTATCTGAACAGCAGCATGCTCAATGTCGCACAAGCACAAGGTTGTACCCAGGTCTCTCTAACCTGTCCATCATCCACGTCCACCCTGGGACCTTCTGTTGCACGGATTCATGGTTCAAACAAGGCCCCAATAAATGGTTTTGAATTAAGTTAAAGAAAATCTATGTTGAGGGGACTGCACTTCCTATTCCCTCAGCTTAACCACCGGAAGCTCAAGAACAATGAATCCACTTCACTCTTCCTGTTGGAACACCTCTGCTGAACTTTTGAACAAATCCTGGGATAAAGAGTTTGCTTCTCAAATGCTCGGAGTTGTGGATACAGTCCTCCTGCCTTCCATGATCGGGATAATCTGCTCAATGGGGCTGCTTGGCAACATCCTCATTGTATTTACTATAATAAGGTAAGGCTTCTTCTCTTTTCCCACAATTTAGAGACATCCTAGACTCCCAAAATGCATCCTTTCTCCCTGGAGGGTTTTTCTTAGTGAAATCAGGTTTTGGAAGTATTTGCTTAAGATAATTAAAAAAAGGTTCTACAGATATTTTTATCATGTATTCAGTAATATCTGAGTTGCAGATCCTAAAATGAAAAGACCTAGGCCAATGCTTACTGCTGGGTTAGTGAATTTTTAGAGCCATGATTCTCAGTCTTAGCTACATATTAGAATCACCTGGGGAGCTTGTTAAAATCATAATACACAATTTTAAAATCCTAATATACAATTTCACTCCAGACCAATTAACTCAGAGCCTCTGGAGGTGGAGCCCAGGCAGGGACTGAAACTGCAAGGCAACCATTTTATTTTCCAGCAATAAGAGTTATCCTAAGAAGTTGACCTGATTTGGCTGGTAAAAAGACTCTTTTTCACTCACTTTGGCAAGAGAGAGACTCTCCCTGACCACCCAAAGATTCAGGCAGTCATATGGTAGACTGTTCCCCTCAATATCGACCACCCCCGAGTAGGCCAAATGAGAGACAGTGACACTGGGAAGCAAGCAATGAACTAACTCATGACTTTGCCAAAGGAAGACTAGGAACATATATATATCTCAAAAAAAATAGGCTTAAGTAAGATGGAGCCTCCAGAATAAGATGGAAGCCGTTCTATACGGCTTCTTTTTTTCTAAAGTAAGAAGCGATTTGTTCATTAGGAGGGTGATTATAATGCAGTGAGGCCAGATCATTACCAGTCTACTATACTTTAAACTTATAGCAGGTCAAAAGGAATCCAGATTAGAAAGCGTAGGAGGAAAATTGAGCCAATTATAACATTTTCCCCTTTTATTCTTTGTGGAGAGACTAATGAACTCAACCCCACTACTCAACTATTCTCCACAGCCGCAGTGGGCCCTGGGAAACTATTTCAATGAAGGAGATGACATTTCCTTCTGTTGATCTCCCACCTCCATGTCCTGAACACATCTTTCTCCTGTCTCCTGACAGGCCACTTTAAATGAACAGAGTCTCTACAGGATGGCCTATGTCTCAATGAATAAAAAGTTCCCACTCTGCCATTCCCTGCCCTCAACTCCTTGTCAAGGCACCTAATTCGCACTAAATCATGAATTGCTGAGACACCTTACTTTTTAACCCTCCCAAAGGTGTCTACATTTTATAGCGGGGGCAGTGTGTTAACCCGAAGGAACACTAATGGTCTAATGGCAGAATACTAGTTGCTAAGAGGAAGGGAAAATGCTTGGAACAAGGCTCTTCCTTTTTCCCAGCCAGTTTAAATCATAACTAGTATTTCCCTTTGACCCAGCCTTCTACTATTTCCATAGTCAACCATATATAAGCTCTTGTTGGGGTTGACTCATAACTTTCTGCACATATACCCTACGTTTTAGGTGCTGCAAAACCTCACAGCCACAGCTGTTCAAATAAACTCAGAAGTTGGTGGGAAGCCCTCATTGCTGTGGTCCAATACACCAAGACAATTCTGGAATCTAAAGGAGTTGAGTGTCTTGCCCAAGGGCATAAATGAGGGCATAAAAATGAAAATAGAATTCCCACTTAGGTTCTCTTTCCACTCTATTATTCTGTATCTAGAGCAGGGGTGGAAAACATATCACTCTATTCTTAGCTCTCCCATCCTTGGCAGGCATCTCTAATCACACAGGTCTGTCCTGTAGTAATGCCTGTGTGAGGACTCAGAATTCTTAAACACCCATGCTTAATGAAATCACTACTCATTCATTGAGATTGGCTCACAAGAGAAATTTAATTCAACAAGAGTTAAATACCAAACCAGGCAACCCAGACATAAACAAAAGCAGGAAGCTACTACCACATCCAATCACCATCTTTACCCCAGTACCATTACCCTTCTCCGGGCCCTGAGCCAGATGGAGGAAAGAAGGTGGTTTTGCAGACCCCAGGAGTCTGAGCTGCCTGGTGGGAGCTGTGGCCACAGTGGGATTTGGGACCTAGGAGTCAGGGCTGTAGGAGAAAGGTGGAGCCATGGAATGGATGCAGCCACTGCCAGAAATGCCAACAGCAGAGAGGGAAAGGAAATACCCTGGCCTCTCCTCTCCTCCTATCCTCCAATTTCCCTCCAATAGTGCTTCCTATTGGCCAAAGCTAACCAATACCAGTTGGCAAGGAGACATAGGAACAAAGCTGGGGAAGAGTGTGAAACGGATTTGAGAGCAAGCTGATTAGCAAAGCATCCTCCTACATGTGTGGTATTACATGTTTTGTTAGTTTCATTTAATCCATAGTATATAGTGTTATCTCTAATTGCAAAAAGTAAACATGTTTTAAAAGAAATTTTTATAAGCATAAAAATATAAAGAATAAAGTCAAAATCAGTTGTATTCCTTTTACCAAGTAGATAATTATTGTGATCACTTGAGATATTTTTAAACAAATGTTTAAATAAATTTGAGGTTATACTATGAACATAGTTGGGACATTTTTATTTAATAAGTATTTTCTCATTTGATTATATATTCCTACAAACTATGATTTGTGACAACTATATTATTTATTGTATGGTATTATGAAATATCATAATTTATTTCATCATTTATCAAATTAGTGAGCATTAGATATGACCATGTTAACCATGTGGAAAACATATTAGCTGAAATGATCACTCGTCTACATTTTTTATTTTAAATGTTCGAATCTAATGAAGTCTGGCAACAGGACACCTGAAGACAAATTAGACCTAAAAAAAAAATAAAAGTTGTTATTTTTTATATCTATGCTGTCACTTTCAGTAAAGAAAGCAATAATAAATAGAATGGGCTACTTTTATTGCCCTCATGCCTTATGCCCAGATAAGTACATCATTTGTTTCAGCATTCTTTTTTTGTATACAGATATCACTTAGAAACACGCTTTTATTGTTAATCCTGACCTGAGGATATTTTCTCCGTTGATTTTGAGAGTAGAAGGGAGGCAAGGGGAGAGAAATATCAATGTGAGAGAGACACAGATTGGTTGCCTCCCCGACGCGCCCTGACCAGGGCCAAGGAATGAACCTGCGACCCAGGCCCATGCCCCTGACTGGAAATCAAACTCTAGACCCTTCGATGTGCAAGCCGATGCTCTACTACTGAACCACACCAGACAGGGCTAGAAACACTTTTATTTATTCTTTTTAATTGACAGTTAATGACCTGCACTGTCCTCAACGATGGAATTGCCGTAACTTATTATCAGTAAATGATGGGTGTCTGTCTAGAGAAAAGCAAGGGCCATGGGTCTAACAACAATTAGGACCTCAGCAACCACTTATGGTTTATACTGTGATTCAAATGGAAATATCTATTTAGAAGCTAAAGTTTATGGGATTTTTTGTTGTGTTTTTGCATTGGTTTTTGGTTGGTTGGTTGGTTGGTTGGCTAGGTTTTTTTAATGTGGAATTCTTTCTTCCTGATCTCTAGTATCTGTTCTCCCCTTTCCCCTTACCATTTCCCACACCCAATGGTCTAAAGAGACCAAGACTGAGAGACCAAGAACAGTCACTTGGCTGCTCTTTTGGTTGACACATCCTTTCCTCAAATCTCTTCTCCTTCTTGGTCTTTCTGATATGAGCCACCAACCCCTTGGGTGCAAGGAACCAGCCTCCTTTATGAACAATACCCAGAGTATGGCTGCTGAGTAAGGACTTAATGACATAACTTCCCCACATAAGATGTGTGTTGCCACGCCCTAGGTAAATATCCTCGCCCAGACTGATGTCTCACACAAGGTTTTATTTTTTTTTTTAGTTATACATCAGCTGTCTCTTTATTTTATTTGTGTGTATGTGTGTTTATTTTTGTTTAAAATATTACAGATGTCCCTTTTTCTCCCCAATGACCCATTCCAGCCCTTCCCACCCCCTCCCCAGTCCCTCTCCACACCATTGTCCGTGTCCTTGGGTTGTGCATATATGCATATGAATTCTTTGGTTAATCTCTCCCCCTCCACCCACCCACCCTTCTCCATCCCTCTGACATTCATCAGTCTGATCTATGCTTCCATGTCATTAAATCTATTCTGTTCATCAGTTTATTAAGTTCTTTAGATTCCACATATAAGTGAGATCATGTGATGTTTGTCTTTCTCTGCCTGGTTTATTTTGCTAGCATAATATTCTCCAGGTTCATCCATATTGTCCCAAAGGGTACGAGGTCCTTCTTCTTTACAGCTGCATAGTATTGATGGCTTAAATTTCACAGCCTATAAAATTTGCATCCCATGAATAATAAAGACACACACTAGCTTCCAAACCACAGAGCAATAGCCCTGAATCCAGAGTCAACTAGCAATTGTGGCATAATCTTAGGGCTAATTCTTCTGTGCTCTTTAAATCCTCATTTGTCTTCAGTTCAGATGTCACTTCTGCCAAGAAATCTGTCTTGACTGTCCCAAGGGAGGGGGCAGAGGCCTCTTCTGTGTACTCCTTGTTCTTGCTCTGGCTTTCTCTCATCACACTGTAATATGATCATTTCACTGTACTACAGGTTCCTTGAGTTACGGCTTATAGATTATTTAGCCTTGCAGCCCCAGAGCACAATATTGTGCCTGACAATGAAATGTTTGTTGAATTAATGAAAATGTCTCCCAGATAAAGATGATGCCTGTTTATTATTGAATGTCCCAACTCCTTTAAGATAGGGGCCACTGAATTTAAAATAGAAATTTCTGCTCTCAGAAAACTATTTTGCCTGTAGAGGAGAGAGTGGCACATCTAGGTAGCATTGAATTCACCTCTCAGCAGGAGACGTGAGATTATTCTCAGTACTCTCTACCAGTTCATTTGCTCAGATTCCTTCTCCACACTATCTGGAATTCAGGGTCTTAATTAATAATCTTTGCTATTGGGTTAGATTTTATTGGAATATTTCTAAGTAATGGTTGAGATTTTTTTAAACAATAGCCTCAGTCAGGATTTGAACATACAGCTTCAGTGGGAAAAAATGCTTTGCACAACGAAAACCATTTATTTTCCCTACTCAGCTGTTTGTAATGGTAGGGATAAGTAAAGACAGAGCCTTTTGCCTGAGTGACCTTAGAGCTGGTACAATTTGTTGCTATGTAGAAATTACCCCAAAACTTAGTGGCTTAAACCAAATATTTATTATCTAACACAGTTTCAAGGATCAAGAATCCAGGCAGCAGCTTAGCTGGGTGGTTCTGGCTCGAGCTCTCATAAGGTTGCAGTCAAGCTGTCCTCTAGGGCAACAGTCATCTTTGCTGGGGCTGAAGCATCGACTTTCAACGTCGCTCACTCATGCACCTGGCTAGTTGGTGCTAGTTGTTGGCAGAGGGCCACAGTTCCTCTCCATGTGGACCTCTCCATAGAGTTACTTAAGTATTCTCACAAGACGGCATCTGGTTTCCCCAGAGAAAATGATCCAAGAGAGCAAGCAAGGGGAAACCCCACAATTCTTTTATGTCCTAATTTCAAAGGTCACACACTGTCATTTCCACCATATTTTATTTGTTAAAATGAGTTACTAAGTTCAACTCACCCTCCATCTTCAAAAGAGGGAATGAGGCTCCATCTTTTGAAAGCAGTTTCTAAGAATGTCTGGACACATTTTTAAACCACCACAGTTAGGTATCAGGTATATAGTTCAAAATGTTGAAATATACACAAGACTAGGCACTCACATGTGCAGTTGTGTGGGTTTTTCTTTAACTTTTAAAATCTGTTCGGCCATTGAAAATTTGTACCAGGTGACATAAATTGAAGAAGGTGCATACTTTCTATGTCAGTCTCCAGTTTACATCCATTTCTTTCAGGTCAAGGAAAAAAACTATTCCTGACATTTACATCTGCAACCTGGCTGTGGCTGATCTGGTCCACATCATTGGGATGCCTTTTCTTATTCACCAGTGGGCCCGGGGAGGAGAATGGGTTTTTGGGGGGCCTCTCTGCACCATCATTACATCCCTGGATACCTGCAACCAGTTTGCCTGTAGTGCCATCATGACTGTAATGAGTATGGACAGGTAAGTGAAGAGACTTTGAAAGTCTAACATAATTCAGAGGTGCCTGTGTTTCCCCAATTCATCCCACTTTAAGCAACAGAGGTGCTGGTTTGTAACAGCAAGGCTCCTCTTCCTTTGCTTGTCTCATTGTAGAACTGATGACTTAAGAATATTTGTTCCAACTTTCACAGAAGTCTACTTTTAATAGAAAGCTTAAAATTCTAAAAATATCCCATTTTCTAAACATTCCTTTTTACTTAGGTTTTATTTACAATTCACTACAATATAGAAGGATCTCAAAATCATGAACAACTGGAAATTATAATGAATGTCCCTCCCCATGATCCTTGCAATAAGGAAGGTGAGGTCCTAAGAAGTGAGGATATTTGCTAAAGGCACAGAGGGAGTCGGTGGCAGAGCTGAGAACTGAAGTAGGTCTCCTCACTCCCTGTCCAAGGCTATTTCTCACATGTTCAGTGCCTCGCACACTCTTGCTATTACCTAGCAGCTTGAAGGAATCAGTGGAGTAGATACGGACTCCTACACAGATATAAAGAAATATCCCACTACCAGGAAAGCCATCTTTTACACTTATCATTATGACCGGTTAATGCAAATGCTGCCATTTTACACCATTAGCAATTTATTCAACTGTGACCTGGAGTGTGTCGTAGTCATATCACCAACCACGGGAGCTAATGCTGTTTGAGGAGATGATAGCAACAGCGAGCCCTCACAGAGCCAATGAGTGGTGGAGCCCAGTTCAGACCCAGGCTGTCTCTAAAGATGGCAGGTGGCTTGTATTATCTCACCATCTGGCCTCTTCCAGAGCATGAAAGCTAGGATGGGCCTGAATCATCCAGATGCCAGGACCTGCACACCTGATCTTAGCAGTATTCCCCAAACAGAAGCAAGTCCTAAAAGACAACAGTAATACCACACAATGGGAATTATCTCAGAGAACAACTCACTGAAAATCTTGATCCACATTCTTCCCACCCCATTTCCCAATCCAGCGCACTTTATCCCCCTTGCTTTGACCTGTCTTGTTTCAAATATATCACATAGTCTAATTTACTTTGTGTATGAATGGGTGTGTATATTGTTTATTGTCTAGCTTCCCCTACCCCCCAAATGTAAATTCCGCAAAGGCAGGGTCTTTGATCACTAATATATCCCAAGTGTCTGTGTAACAGTGCCTGGCAAGTGGGTGCTCAAAAAACATTGATGAATGAATGACTGTTAGTCTTGAGGGCTGTGTTAAATTTCCCTGGGTCCATCCAGGACTGTTTCCTGAGCTCTGACTCTTTTATGTGTCCAAGTAGGCCTTCAGAGGTGGGGAAGTTAAGAGCAGTTCTTCAAATGGATAAACAAAGCAATAGCAAGGTTCATATAAATCATTCCCTGGATTATTATTCAGAATGAATAATGATGACAATGTTGGATGTATTTTTTTTTTTTAATATCCCACTGCTTTTCTGCAAAAGAATTCTCCAAATATGGAGTGTGCTTCTCAACTTATAATTAACATCACATTTTTTAATCAATGTACTGTGTGGGCCTTGTTAGTTCACCTGGCGCCAGCCAGTGCTGACTGTCCTGAGTAAAGCTCGCTGAGCTCCCCGGGGTTCCGACATTAGGGAGAGGGCCATGCACAAGCCAGGCCGCTGCAGAAAAGCCACCTAAAGTACAGGCCTTCCCAATCACAATCCCATTCTTGGAGATAATGAAAACTGCTTTCTGCCCTGTATGCTGAATAAAGGAGAATATTAGCTTTCCTTTCATTGGACGTCTTCTGTGAACCTCTTACTGTACCACCCCATCTCCAGCAAAACTCTGCTTTTTCAAATCCCTTCCTTCCAGGTCTGAACTCTCTTTTTCACCCTTTAGCTTTTATTTGGCACTTTAAAATTCTTCTAGGATATGCTGGAATCAAAAATACTTTTGATATGTCAGGATTTCAAGTTTGATCAAAAATGGAAAAAAAGAAGAAAAGAAAAAAGAAATATACTTCTCCATGAAATAGCCCATTTCCCCCTCTGGCCTCCAGCCTGGGTTCCTTGAGGAATTTGCATGTCTACACTAGGCACGTTTGTTTATTCTCAGAGATTTGTCTGAACTGAACTCCCAAGAGCCTGGGGACCCTACTGGAAAGCCATCTGAGCAAAATGCCCGTCCCCTGGGCCTGAACTTCACCCCTCTGGGGGACCCTCCTACCAGCCAGCGCACTTTCCTCCTTCCTGCCTCGACATCAGTAAGTCCTACAGCAGAGGACCCCCCACCCGACCTCCTGGAGGAAACCCCTGTGCAGAGACCTAGTTTTTCAGAGCTTCATCTACAAGGCAAGTGCCTTGGTAATGAGAGAGTCTGCAGGGCACAGTTTTACCATCATCGGTGTGTCGTGGAAGCGATGCCTATTTCAGTGAGTGGTTTATTCAGACTGGCAGTGTCAAGAGTTGTTTTCTCTACAGGTGCCAGCCAGCTCTTAAAAACTATAACTTTCTTTTACCCTGATAGCCGTGTGCTTCAGGGAGGATCATAATACTAATAATTTACTCTTGTCATGAACCATTCCTCCTTGGAGCTCAGTGCTGTTATTGATTGTTCCCAAACCGTTCTTAACTGGCTTTGCAGGTACTTGGCTCTTGTCCAACCATTTCGACTCACAAGTTGGAGAACGAGGTACAAGACCGTCCGCATCAATTTGGGCCTCTGGGCAGCTTCCTTTGTTCTGGCGCTGCCTGTCTGGGTCTACTCGAAGGTCATCAAATTTAAAGACGGCGTGGAGAGTTGTGCTTTTGATTTAGCAGCCCCTGACGATGTGCTCCGGTAGGTTGTTACAACTTAAGGAAAATCGAGTTGAATTAAGTTATGAAGTGCTCCAGCCTCCTTGTCTCCATACCGTGCGGAGTGTCCTTGGGGACCCTCTTCTGGACAGTCTCCCCACTGCTTAGTTGTCTGCCTTCCACAATCAAGTTGATTGTTTGATTTTAAGGAGAGGGTAACCTTTTCTAATCTTTAGAAAAAGATTTTGAGTTTAATCGTGTAACCTTGGTGGGCACAAATATATCTAAGTATGGATTTTAAAGATCCCTGGCAGCCAGACACAGCAGAAATGCAGCAATCAAGGAGGGACAGAATTTCAAAAAGGGTCTCAGCATTACCGACTGAGATGCAAACCTGATTTATCAATATGCAACTGGAGTTTGGTTGAATTGTGTCCCTCCAAAAAAATATATTCAAGTCTTACTCTCAGCACCTATGAATGTGACATTATTTAGAAGTAGGGTCCTTGCAAATATGTCAAGTTAAGATGAGGTCATACAGGATTACAGTGGGCCCCATAGCCAAAGATTGGTGTCCTGATAAGGACAGGGAGCTTTGAAGAGACACAGAGAGGAGAATGCCTGTCAAGACAGAGGCAGGGATTAGGGTAATGTGTCTACAAGCCAAGAAACCCCAAGGATTGTCTGAACTCACCAAAGGCCAGGAGAGAAGCATGGAGCAGATGTTCCCTCAGAGCCTCCAAAAGGAACCAACCCTACTGACACCTTGATCACAGACTCCTAGCCTCCAATTCTGTGAAACACTACATTTCTGGTTTTTTAAGCCATCCAGTTTGTGGTAATTTGTTACAGCAGCTCTACATAACTAATACAGCCACCAACACAGGCATTTCTTACATTTTAATTTGAAAAGAAAACTTAAGTCAAATATTTTCTATTTGAAATTTTGAGCATAGCATTGAAGTCTATGACAAAAAGTTTCTTAATCACTTACTAAGCTCGAGTTATTGTGCTAGGTGCTTTTTACATACATCCATACATAATCTCAAGTCAATCTGGCAGATTCCTTTTCCCATCCACCACTTCCAAATCGATGGGTCATTTCTGTATAGACACACCCAAAGGGATGAGGTAGACAGCCTGCAAGGCCACAAATCCAGTAAGAGCAATCTCCCGAGGAGTGCAACACCAGTAGTATTGGTTATTTATTTGTTGTTTCTCCCACCAGAATTGGCTACAGGCACAAATAAAAACCATCAGCCAATCTAAATGAAATGATACCTATCACCGGCATTGACAGATTAATATGGACCTCAACCTATCTAAAAGAAGAGCACAACCTGAGACTCACAATACGACTATAGGACTTTGGCCCATGTCAAAGAAATTAAACAAAGATAAATTATTTTACACTGATAGCTGTTTCTGCTATTTTTGGTTGATTATCATAAAGGATACTCTAAGGTTTCAGCCTTGGTTGTTCCTCCTAGAATTAAATCGTTATGATGAACTGAGACTGGAACTCCTGTGCTGCACTCAGCATCCCTCTGGTCCCAGGTGCTCTCTTTCTCTCCCTCTCTCTCCCTCTCTCTCTCTCTGCCTCTGTCCATACCCACCCAGCCTGGGCTGCCTTCTTTCACCAGCACTACAGTTCTGCCAGGAAGGAAGACACCTGGCACCTGTGCAGAACAGGAATTGGCTCGCCTGAGAATTCCCCCTGGCAAAGTACTGAGGAAAAAACTGGCTGGTTTTACAACAGGCCCTTGGAAAGGCTGTCTCCATCCTTAGCTACAAGCATGGGCTGTACAGCTCAATTGTCCATCTGGGTTCAAATCCTCCCTCTGCCACTTACTAACTGGCTAACCTTGGGCAAGCCACTTAACCCCTCTGTGTCTGAGTCTCTTCTTCTGTAATATGCACATAGTAATGCCATTGTACTCATGGGGTTGGACATGCAGTGGGTTAAAATATATAAAGCACTCAAATCAGGCCCTGCTATGTAATCAATGCTACTGCTATTGCCTGTTCTTGCTAATAACACTAACAGTGATGATGATAACAAGTAGCCTCGCCCGTTCCGTACTCAGCAGTGCCGGCCTTGGCACTAGAAGAGGGAGCGTCATTGTCAGCGAACAGGGAGGAGCAGGAACATCTCCACAGGAAAGCACCCAAAGATCCTTAACTCTTTCCCCACGGGCTTTTATTCTAGGCCCTGAAAAATCAGAGAATCATGCCTCATAAACTGTAGAAGCCAATATCTAGCACTGTGAATCTAACAGTCATGTCTTTTCTCTCATTTTACAGGTACACACTTTATTTGACGATAATAACCTTTTTTGTCCCTTTGCCCTTGATTTTGGTGTGCTATATTTTAATTTTATGCTATACTTGGGAGGTGTATCAACAGAATAAGGATGCCGGATGGTAAGTGTCTGCGTTATTTCTCTTTGTTTATTAAAAGAACAATTCAGAGATCCTAAGACATCTACAACAGAAATTTAAAACAACTATCACTTGAAGCATACCATACTTAGACATGTGGGCATTAATGTCTGTATGAGTCAGTTTCTGAAAATAAGACATGTTCTGAAGCAGATATTTGAGGGTCTCTCAGTGATAAATGTTGAAATCACTGAGGCAATGTTTCATAAAAATTAAACAGAACTCAAGATTCTGTTTAAAGAATAATTTTATATTTGTCATCAACAATGCTATTTAAATGTTTTATTTGTACATTTTGCAGACTTGTGTGCATATGGAAGTATCCTAGATGTTGTGTATAACTTCAACTTTTTTGTGTTTTAATTTTTTAATTTATAGAAATATCTCATTAATATTTTAATACTTAGGACAACATTAATTAGAACTAAATAAAAATAAAGGCTTACATAAAGACAATAAACATGGGAGGAACTTTAGAGATACTTGTCCCTAAATCGCATGAATGAATATAAATTATTTTCTACCTGAAACTGTACATACTAATCCATTTAAATGCATCAATGTTTTTATAAAACATGTTGGGTTAAAAAACATTATTAAAATTTGTCCTTAGACTAGATTATCATATTTGTTTTGAAAAGACAAGATACCTGGTTTTCCCACACACACAACATTTAACACTGTGAACGTTTAAAAAACGGAATAGGTGAACAATTTATGGCCCATGGGTCAAAATTTGTGGCAAACCCTGGTACCAAAGGTTTAGGTGGTCTATTGGCCCATGACTTTTTTTCCCCAATGATAATTTCTTGAAATTCTTTGGAAATATGACATTCTTCAAGGGTGGTCTATTTAAATGGAAAAGGGAAGCAGCCACAGTTATGGAAAAAATTTTGCTTCTAAATGTATCACAGGGAGCTGAGTTGGTGAAAAGGTTGAAACGGAATATTAAGACACCGACAGCTGGGACGGATGCTTGAGCCCTTTTCAAACAGTCTCCAAATCAGATCACTTTGCTCCCAGCACCTCCTCCAGAAATGCTAAGAACATTTTATGAAATAAAGCTCATACTGCCCAGTTATTCCTCAAAATGCAAGAAGTTAGAGGAATCGTGGTGCTTGCTCTGATAAACTGCAGAGAAATCATCTTAGAATGAGTGTCAGCCCCCTGCTAGTTTCCATATTATTCCTCGGGCTTATTCATCTGCTTCCACCAGGTCCCAGGGAAATTTCTATTAAATGTCTAACTATGACATAACATGACAAAGTTTGGGAATTAAGGGTTTTTTATTTTAGAATAATTTTAAATTTACAGAAAAGTTGCACAAATAATACAGAGAGTTTCCATATACTCCTCACCCAGTTTCCCCATTCACATCTTAATTATCATGAAGCATTTGTCAAGACAAAAAAAAATTGGCATTGGTACATTACTATGAAGCAAGCTCTACTCTTTATTGGATTTAACAGGTTTTTCCATTAATGTCCTTTTTCTGTTCCAGGACCCAATCCAGAGCACCCCACTGCATTTAGTTGCCAATCTCCCCAGTCTCTAGTCGGCAACAGTGTCTCACCCTTTCCTTGCTTTCTGTGACCTTGGTAGTCTTAAGGAGTCCTGGTTAGAAGGTATCCTGTAGAGTGTCCCCCAATCTGGGCTTGTCTGATACTGTGTCATGATTAGACTGCAGTTATGTGCTTTTGGAAACAATCAGCTCTTCTCATCAAAACATATGAGGGGTACATGATAACTATATGACATCTCCGATGATGATAACTGTGATCCCTTGATTAGGACAATGCTTCCCAGGCTTCTCCAACATGCAGTTACTATGCTCCATCTCTAGGAAAGGGGAGGAGCTATGTAGATTATTTGGAATTCTTCTGTAAAAGCAGTTTGTCTCTTCTTTCTCATTTTATTCAATCATATATTTATATCAATATAGACTCATGTATTTGATACTTTGGGCTTTAATTCAATACTATATTATTTACTTTTCTTAAAATCTTCCAGCTTTGAGAAATTTTTGACCAGAATGAAAAAGAATCTTTTTACAATGCTCTGAATAAAAATGAGCTTCATAGTGCACTGCACAGCCATTCTGAACTGTCCAAAAAGCTCTAGAAACCCACCGTCCCGCAGTTTCCGAGGTTGTTTACCTTCTATCCTGACGTTGCCTTTGTAGTTACAATCCCAGTGTCCCAAGGCAGCGAGTCCTGAAGCTGACAAAGATGGTGCTGGTGCTGGTGGCAGTCTTCATCCTGAGTGCGGCCCCTTACCATGTCATACAGCTGGTGAACTTGCAGGTGGAGCAGCCCACACTGGCTTTCCACGTGAGCTATTACCTCGCCGTCTGCCTCAGCTACGCCAGCAGCAGCATCAACCCTTTCCTCTACATCCTGCTGAGTGGAAACTTCCGGAAACGGCTGCCTGGAGCGCAAAGGAGGGTGACTGAGAGGGAAACCCACAACATGGAGAACACCTTGAAATCCAGCTTTTAGGAGAATACATGGATCACCAGTCACCTCGGCAGGCTTGTCTAAGTAACTGGGATTACCAGAAAGGACAGGAGAAACCGTGGGTTTGTGATATACTTCTTGTGTGCTTGTGACTCTTACTAGCATGGAACAGAAGGGTAACCACTCAAATGCATTGAGTGTAATATGCTGACTTTAGTAAGACATGAAAACGTATCTGTATTTGAGAGTAGAGAATGGAATAATCTAAGATACCCATGCCATGGCTATGGATGCTGTTCCTGCATACTATAAACTACACACTGACCATCGACTGAAAACCCACCAAGGAATCTGGCCTTGCCGTCCATATTTTGGCCTCACTGTAACAGTGACCTCGAGGTTCCTAAGAGGGGACCANTGCCGTCCATATTTTGGCCTCACTGTAACAGTGACCTCGAGGTCCCCATTATAATGAGGACTTAAATGTGGCCACTTTTTATCTACAAAAATGTCAATTTCATGTGGTCCAATATAATGCCTTCAACAGTCAGCTTTACCTGTTAGCATAACACTTATCATGTATTGAATACATGCAACATGTAAGATTACACATAACATGCCCATGAAATAAGTATTGCCTCAGTTTGCTAAGTTCAGAAAGGTTAAGTGATAGGCCTAATGCTGCACAGCTACATAAGAACTGACCTAAAATCCAGGTCTGCCTGTTTTTGTCTTTTTACTGCATTACCTTGGCAACCTGTACCTACCATTAAGGAGGGAACCAATAAATAATTTGGGAGGTAGGGGTTGCTTTATTCCTATAGCCCCCCAAGGAAAGAACCAAAGTCTGAAAAAAATGAGTTGACAGCTTTAAGCATATTCTTTTGCACTTAGCTTTGTTCTCATGCCTACAAATTATAAAAACCAGCATCTCCATTTTAATGAGAGTATTCTTTAGCATACACTTAGATACATTCTCTTTAGGTTACAGTATATGTTTGTTCAAAGCTACAAAAAGTAATTAGCCCTTAAATATGTGGATGTTCATTTATCTATCTTTTCTTCTTTTGGCTTGTATAAAACATGCACTTTGATATAGTAAGGAAAGGGAAAAATGTTCTTAAAGTCTGTATTCTCAACAAAGGTAAATCTTGTTATTTTGTTTGTTAATGAAATCTGTAAACTTACCTCCTCCATCTAAATACATAAAAATTCTTGCTCCAATGACATCTGAAACTGATTTTTAATCAGCCCTTAATATAAAAGAGTCACAGAGACCAACTTTTTTAACAAACCTAATCTCCATTTTTATATCTCAATTGTCAAGACACTTGTCTTTCAACTCAATATATTTGGTTCTAGGTATTTTAGAGGTTTTTCTTGAAACAAGGTAGTATCTAAATGCATATCTGGATGAAAGGTCATGTAAACAATCTGAAAACTACAAGCAGGTCATATCTGAGATATTTTAGTTTTGTAACTGAGATCTGAGAGCTACACAGAGACCGGATGTTCCTTTATAATTTGTTCAAAAGCTGTGTCATGGCTACAGTCCTAAGGGCCTTCATTCTCACTTCTCTAAGGTGCAAGAGTCAGGGCCCAGTGATTAACCCTGATATCTGAAGACCCAACACAGTGGGTTAAAAACTGATGTTATCAATTCCATTGTCTTTTTTAATAGAAAATACTGTTATTATAAAAATGGTTTAAAAGCAATAGATATTTTTCTAATAGCATTTCCAATGGGCCTCAAATAATTACAATATATAAACTGGTCAGTGAATTATTTCAATTTGTATTTATTAAGAGTTGTAAAGAAATTTAATCAAAGTGCAAAATTATTTTAAAGGTGACTATTAAGTTCATTTTTGTGCCTTTATATAGCTTTTCTATGCATGAGCATATACATGCAGGTTTGCAGAAGTGGTTTGACAGAGATTCTCTATACGTTTTGTTCTTTCAAGAGAAGTGAATGATCAGTTTCATATATCTAATTAGTACTTGGGTATTTGTCATTACATAAATCATAACCGTATCCCTCCTCTATGCTTAGTCCATTTTAGGTGCCTCATTTAAATTTTGATTAATATAAATCAATGAATAAAAATTGCTTGTATATTAATTTACTTCTGGCTGGTAGCTTCTATTCTTAAGGTTTTCTTATATAGCATATTTCCTTAATATAGTTTCTCCTGAACAAAAAATAAAGATTTCCTGTGGGAAACAAAAATGTAACATTAAATATTCACATTATTAATGTACCCTAATTTGTACCCTAATTTCAGAAAGGCTAGCATGTGGGAAAGTGCACATCACAGAACTGAGAGGGAAAAAACAATACTGACAACTCATTCATGCATCTTCTTCTAAAATTAAATGTACTCATCTCTATCACTCAGTGAAAGAATTATTCACCAAGTGGTTTCTTCACTGCTAATAAATGTCTACATCCAAACACATAAATGAACCATATAAAAGGATCAAAATTGATTAAACACCTCATAAAATGTTTTACTTATTTTGGGGCATAGGACTGAGAAAAAGTGTAAATAATTTTGAAATAACTTGCATTTTTGTAACAATAAAGCCACAAGCACTTGCTGCCTTAACAACTGAAAAACTTAACATTGCATCTTGAAAATAAAGCTTGCAGGTTCTTGAGAATGAAAAGCTATCTTGGGATTCATCACACCATTATTGGGAATATAATTCTGGGACCCTGCTTCAAAGGTACTCTCTTCTATCAGAAACCTATTTAAAAGTATAAAGTCACCCCCTAATCAAAAGTGAAAAACATTTCTAAAATACTGCATAATTATTATTGAGAATACAGTTGTTTCTGTAGCACATTAAAGAAAATGTGTTGTTCTTCTTAATTTACAAAACTGAATACATTGGGTATTTCTCTGAAAAAAATTCAGAACAAATGTCTATTGTTAGTAGATTTTACTAATATGAGGCACTTTTTAATAACAGCTATCTAAAATATCATATGTAGCCCAGCCGGGCGTGGCTCAGCAGTTGAGCATTGACCTAGGATCCAGGCAACTGGGGTTCGATTCCTGGTCAGGGCACATGCCTGGGTTGCGGGCTGCAGCTGATCAATGACTCTCTCTTCATTGATGTTTCTCTCTCCCTCTCCTTTCCTCTCTCTGAAATCAATAAAGATATATTTAAAAATGATAATAATAAAATATCATATGTAGATTTGTTCCCCAAGCAATTGACAAAATTATTTTCAAGAGTAAGAAATAAGAATGCGGTTCCTCTCCTCAGTTTTCAGTACTGTGGAGAAAGCTCTGGAATCCCTGGTGTGTCAGTAGACTTGGCCTAAGTTCTAGCCTCATTAATACTATGTGTAAAAGACCTTGGTAAAACTATTAACCAAACTACTTAATTGTACGGATTAGGAAATTGGAGCCAAAAAACAGGTAAACAAACTCAAACAGCTCTTTATTGTCAGAATAAGGACAATATTTTGAAGCTCCTGACTCAGACCTTCCCTGTTTCCACCTCACCATTGTCTCTCGAATAGGCTGCACTCAGAGAGTAGGAGGCTGTGGATGTCACACCAAGAAGTTGGCTTATACGTGCAACAGAGCATGATCAACATCTCTGCCCCCAACAATCACTTGAAAATACTTAACAGAGTGAAAAACATAGGCACAATATTTTTCAGTCCCTCCTACTGAGAAGTAGAGTTCAGCTTCTCATCCCTTGAACCTAAGCTGACCTTGTGACTTCCTTTGACCAATACATTGTGGCAGAAGTGGCATTGTGTACATTCCAAAATCTAGGCCTAAGAGTCTTTTAGTTTCCACCTTTGCCCTCTTGGAATCCTGCACTGAGACACTATGCAAGAAAGCCAGTCTAGCCTAGTGGAGCATGAGGGGCCACATGAAGAACTGAGGCACCCCAGCTAGTAGCTAACACCAGCTGCCAGGCATGGAATGAGACCACCTTGGACCTTTCAGCCCAGCTGACTGTCCAGCATTTATAGTCATGTGAGTGACCCAGACGACAGCAACAGAGGAACCGTCCAACCAATCCACAGAATTGTGAGAAATAAAAAATTGTTCTTTTAAGCCATAAGCTTTGAGGCAATTCATTCTGCATAAAATAGCATCCAGGAAAGTAAAAATTAATAAAATCGTCCTTAGTGATTAAAAAAAGTTGTAAGCATCTAAAATATTGTGGTTATTATAAATCTTGATTCCTTTCTTCCTTTAGTCTGTAAATATTTATTGAGCACCTAACATATTCTAGATACAGTTTGATGGAAACATTTTCTGCCCTTACAGAGTTTACAGTCCAATGGGCATAAAAATGTTAACACATAGATAAGCATATAATGATAAATAGTGATAGGTGCCTAGAGAAGAGACTAACACAGACATACTTAGCTGTATAGGACAGTTTTTTCAGCAGTGCTTAGACAGAAAGCAGCTGTGAAATGAATTCTCTCCCACTGATTTCATTCTAAAAGAAATGGCAATTGCATCGAACTCAAAATATTTAAAGTATGAGAAAACTGTTATTCTATCTCTTTTCTATTTAAAAGAGTAGATATAAATAAACTATCTACAGATACGGAGAAAACAGATGGATTTGAAAATTCAAACTCACACTGAATATAATTAACTTGGAAAGGAAGAGACGCCAAAGATGCCTGAGATCATAGGTGCCCAGGAGACAGGCAAAGGACTAACTTATTTTTAACACCACAGTCGTCTCAGCAGTAGGGACATTTCAAACTCGATTAAAGTCTCTCAAGAGTTGAAAGAGCAAATGGAGAAGAAAAAAAAAAAATGTAGCTATTGGAGAGTAATTAACATTTGACCCGGTTGCCAGCCTGAGTAGGTGTTCACCACTTATTAACCAAGCTTGGGTGTCCCGGGTCATTGCAGATGAGAAGGTCTTGTGAAAACACTCAGAGTGTTGTTTACCGTTTAATTCTGAGAGCATCAAACACCTGAAGAGACAAATGGGCTTAGGCAAAGCACTTCTTCAGCAGGAATGGAGGGTTGCCTTCTGCACAGAGCTAGCCTTATTTGCATGCCCAAACAGAAAGCTCTGGGATAACTGGGTCTGACAAATAACCAAAGGACCCTTGGCCTTGAAGGACTTGAGAATAGTTACGTGTCAGGCTACTGTGACTGAGGCTTAAATATAGCCTCGTGTACAAAGCCCTTCACAATTAAAACCCAGTGGCC